ATGAGAATTTATTGAAAGTATACGTATGCTCGCCAATTACTCTTCGGATATAATATATCTATTTATTTTGTTTAGGTAGACAAGTCATATTAGGATTGCCTTCTGACGTCGCCTGATAAAATGCTGAGTAGCTGGGTTGAGGTTGGGGTCGGGTCACAAATTAGAGTTCGGATAAGGGTTAGGGTTTAAGGTTAATGTTAAGGTCAGCTTTGCCTGCCACAGACTGTTATCGAATCCAACCCATTTAACTGATCATCTCGGTTTTATTAGGAGGGGTTTGTCAGATTTGAATAATTCAGTTGACCAAATTGTGAGAAATGTAGGCTTCGGTGGGATTCAAACCTACATCAGCAGGTAAGGCCTTAGTACAGTCAATGCTCTACCACTTGAGCTGCGGAGGCACGCCGAGGGCCGTGAATTTAATCACACTTGGGTCGATTTATCCATCTAACCTACTGCACGTATGGAATCAACCAATACGTGTACGGTGAGCTGACTGCCCCTGCTTTCTGCGATTCAGCCTCCGAATAGCGAACTTAAGAGGGTGTAATTTACTTAGAGAACACTGTTAATCTAACTTGAGTCCAGTCAGTCAGTCCAGTCCAGTTATAGCTTCCACAACTCACGGGCCTATCCCCGAATACGCATGCCAAATGACGCTACGACGACTTGTTTGAGGACGAACGAAAATGGAGGGAGCACAACAACTAGGGTCGACAGTCATTGAACTCAAGCATCAAGTTGTATTCAGAATTAGACGGACGGACCGAAAGGGAGACCCTACATAACATGCCTCGGGTAAAATAAGACGTGGGAAAATGGAAAAAAAGGAGTGAAACATTTAGAGTACCTGATGTTTAAAAACTAGACTAGCAGTAACTTAACCGCCCCCAAACATTTCCAATATCCGAGTGAAACACAATCACAAGACAGCGGACTCTTGGCTCAATGCTTAGGGCGTTTGCCTCTGGCCGGAGAGACGCGAGTTCGAAACTCGAGTGTGGCGGCAATTTCCGCTGCTACACTGGAGTTGAGTATCTTTACCTGACGACGGCAAATAAGTCAGAAAAGGCCTTCGTGGAAATCCCTCTGTCTTTTTCGGTAATACGTAACATGAAAATATGCTACTAAAACTTAATAAAGAACCATTTATTTCCAGCTTCCATATGTATCAGTCTGTTTTTTCAGTAGCTAAAGAAGAAGTATGTGTGAACAACAAAAAGTCGTCCCTCGCACATATTTTGATCTTGAAATTCTCGTTCTCATACAAAACAATTATTGAAAGTAAACAAAAAATATCCGAGTAGGATTTTCAGAGGAACACCTATTATGCAGAAAGTCCTTTTGTTCGCGAGACCATGGCCTGGAACAGGCCGGTGGGACACGTGGCAGTTCAAGTGTTCCAGGCACCAGTTTTACCATCAATGTATCGAAATCCACAAAACATCACGCTGACAATTTGGGATTAACTGTAATGCTATCCAGTTAGAGGAAATTTCGAATGCACCTCATTGTAACCCGAACGTTTTAACAGAGAGACTTAAGGCTACAAATGGGAAATACTTCAAAAATGCGAAGTTTTAAATATTGTGATGTAGAAATTATGCATTCATTCAAGCTTTATTTTTTATAAATGAAAGTCTGTATATGTCTTTTGGACTAATTAATTTCTCTAATAGCAATTTCCGGTCCAAATTCATACGTAAAAAATTTTTCTGTATTGTCGGCAGGGTGAACTTGATGCCATCGTAACAGAGACCAAAAATCTCCAGAAACGGAAACGTGAACTAACCGAGGCAAAGCTTGCAGCTCAGGAGGTGATTGAGGTAAGCTTTAACACTTCCAGTACGCGTGTTACTTATAAATTTACTGTATGTGCATTCACAGAAGCCTGACAACATAATTGGCAGCATTTACTAAATCGAGGGCTTATCAACGATATACCCGAATGGTCCAAACATAAGTCACTCGATACACGTCTCACGCTCCAGGATCTCAGCCGTTAGCCAGATTTTATTCAACAAATTCACTTCTACAAAAAGTAAAGTATCGTTTCCCGGAAGAAATTTAAACAAGGCAAAGGCAACGGGATTGGCATTTTTTAATGAAGTCATGGAATTTCGTGACCTCTTTTTCAATTCCCTAATTTGGCGAGCATGGCTTTGCTTTCGATAAATTCTCGTCAGGCCTGTACGTTTATGTCGTAATTAACTAACGAGGCCAGATAAGGGAACTGGCGTTGTTATAATGGGCAGAACAGATAACATTGGGGATATGCAGTCCATTCTGTTAGAAAAAGAACAGTTTAGAAAGACTGAAAAGGAGAAAGGTCATACGGACGACGTCGAACCACAGCTGTCTGAGTGTCTGAAAAGACTGCAAAAGGACGACGTCATAAGCGAACATCACTTAGAAGGTCTCCGTCCCGTTGGCACGCTACACTTCGACTATACGCTTCATCTAAAATCCATAAAGATGGCTCACCAGCTCATCGCATACTAGACGTGAGAAACTTGCCGTACCGTGCGTTAAAAACGTGGTTAGCGGACAAAGTCAAGCCCATACAGAGCCAGCTATCACCACATAGCCGCCGAGACGACCCCTTCGAATTCGCGGACGGCGTGAAAGATTTCGACCTGAACCGTATGTATCGTCTTTATTCACGAACTTGCCGGTCACAGAAACAGTCAATTAAATATGTGAATTCATTACCTCGAACTACCAGGACATAGAAATGCCAGTAAATGCACACAAGGAATTACTATTAACGTGCACCTTGAATTTGAAATTCTT